ATTTAGACAAGAGCCAATTAGCCTACCAGCATATCTTTTGAGTGTGGGAAACTGGAGTATCCAGAGGAAACTCAAACAGGCACAGGGAGAACATGCAATCTCCAGGCAGGAAGTATCATCGTTAGGATTCGAACTAGTGTTGCTAGGTGGGCGTGCTAACCACTTCACCACTGTGCTGCCCACAGTTTTTTAAAAATAAGGAAATTAAATTGTATATTTTTTACACAAAGTTGTCAATTAATAAATTATTTCTAATACATATCATAGGCACACTCAGAATTACACCCCAAAACACGTTCTTCTACTCTTCCCCAGTATGGGTATTCTGACTCCAACTGTTGAAATAGTGACTTATACTTTGTTAAGACCTCTATGCCTGGCCTGTATAAGCAGTTACAATCACTGTGGACAGACTTTATCAGATAGCTGAACTAAAAAAACACCTTTATCTCATCCACAAAGATCTTCATTGAATGCAGTTTGATTATAACAGACAACAGGATGTAAAAGGGTGGTATTTGCAGGTCAAAACATTGTACTGCGTTCCCCCATGCAAGCAGATTACCATGTGGGTGTGAGACATGCAGCCATCTTATCCCATATTGCATACGTAAGAAGTGCATCATAAAATGGGAGGGAAAACAGAAAAAGATGGTGCAATAACCAAAATAACCACAAGATGGCAGTATATTAACCAACTATACTGAAGCCAATAAACAATGGCTTAAAGAGTTACTAAACCCAGGACCCTGCATTCACTATATCTGGTCTGCCACAGTACACAGAACATAGATATGCAATTATTTTAGTAAATATAAACTGATAAATACCTTTTCTCATCAACAGTTAGGGCAGTCTTGTGACTTTAGCAGAGCACTGGTTAAAGCTTGTAGGAGAAGTTTTCTTTCTGCTCTAGGAGGATGCAAAACCCCTGGCCCTCTGCCTGAACAGTGCTGATTGACCCTGTGCTGATCACATGCACTCTCCCAAGAAAAAAAAAAAAAACCTCTCTAGCAATGCACACTAAACTGAGCATGTGCATGTGGCTACAGGTTCAGTCTGTCTTATCAGGAGATGAGACATGGACATTTGAACTAGAGGAGGGGCAAAGAAACAGGATCAAATGGCCTTTTTACACAATGCAGAGGATTAACCCCTTAGGTTCCACGGTGAGCATAACAAGCATGCTTTACTGCGTATACAGACTGATTTTACTGTTGTGGGTTCAGTAACACTTTAAGGAAATTAACTATATAAATGATCAATTCACAGTAATATGAACATTAACCATGGCTATGCATTGTATTATATTCTCATACAAGTGTAACAGCACAATGGAGATACCACATGTTTGTTGCCTAGCTGCATAGAGGAGCCCAAAATCCAAGAACCTTTAGGCTTTCAAGGGGCATAAATTATGCATCTAATTTCCTGACTTCCTATTTTGGAGGTCCTAGAGCACCAAGACAATAGAAACACCAACACAATTACCACATTTTGGAAAGAAAACACTCAAAATAATTTTTTGGAGACAAGGTCTTCTGAAGGTTTCATTTATTGCCAATCATTTTTGGAAAACGAAGAAAGAACATTATTTTTTTTGTTTTACACAAAGTTGTCAATTAATAAGGCATTCCTAACATACAGTATAGGAATATTTATAATTACACCCCCAAAACACATTTTGCTACTCCTTCCAAATATGGGGTCTTTCTTTTAAACTTAAGGGATGCCACATGAAGGGGTCCAAAATTCAAGGAACAGACATTTAAGGGGTATCTAATACCCTGACTGCCTTTCACATTTTTGGAGGTCTTAGAGCACCAGAACACTAGAGACACCCACAAAACACTTCCAAGGTATTTTTTAAGAGTCTTTTGAAGATTTAATTTTTTTGCCACAAGTTTTGGAAAATGCAGAAAGAAAATGAAAATAATTTTTGTCAATTAAATAAGATATTATTTACATACATACTTTTGCTAAGTACATATGTACCCAAGTACATACTTCTCTATATGAATGGCCAGGGAATATACTAACTTAGTGTAATATCATCTATAGCAGTCACTATTCCTATAAGCAAAGCAAGCCTAGCCCATTGGTAAGAGGCTGCCCCCATGAATGCCATATTTACTGGTCAGGAAGACAGAAGGCTAAACAAAGGGTGAGCAAAAGAATCCCTGTGGTACCAGGAGTGCAGTTGTCTGGGACTGCTGTCTCGCAGAAACATAGTCAGTGGAACATGCAGGTAGGCCATTTCAAGCGGCAAAGAGAGACATGCTCAGCAAACAGGCAAAGGATTTGTCCAGGCAACAGACGAAATGTAGTCAATAAACAGGTCAGGGTCAGTACAGGCAGCAGGCAACACTGCATTGTTGTTGGCATGGTCAGGAACACTGTTGCTGGCTGCACTGGTTTTGGTGACATTGCACTGATGTGGTGGCAATCAGGGACACTGTTGATGCCTGCACTGACTCTGGTAACACTGGCACTGGTGTGGCTGGTGATCAGGAATATAGTTGCTGGTTGCACTGGTCTGGTGACATTGACATCGGGGTGGCAGTGATCAGAAACACTGTTAATGGCTTACACTGGTCTGGTGACACTGGCACTGGTGTGGCAGTGATCAGAAACTCTGTTGCTGGCTTACACTGGTCTGGTGACACTGGGAATGGGGTGGCAGTGATCAAAAACACTGTTGCTGGCTGCATTGGTCTGATGACAGTTTTGACCAGTGTGGTGGTGATTGGAGACATTGTGAAAGGTTACACTATCATGATGACAGTGGGACTGGTGTGGTGGTGATCAGGGACACTGACTGACTGCACTATTGTGGTGACACTGGGAGTGGTGTGTGTGGTGATCAGGGACACTGTTACTGACTGACTATGTACTGCTGTGGCTAGTGATCACTGGCAGGCAGCCATTTTACAAGATCACTAGCAGCAGCAATACAATGTCACCATAGTGACACTACACTGCTCTGGTGAGAATGTGTAAAAAAAAAATCATATTCGCTATAGCAGTGCAGTGTACGTATGGTGACATTGCACTGCTGTAGCTAGTGATCAGAGACAGTGCCTTGCTGCATTGGTATACATTGATATGAGAGCAGTCAGTATTTACTAAAGTGCTGCCCACTGTAGAAAATTCTCTGTTTCTTTGCACATCCTCAGGCACTGTGAGAGGAAATGGTTCAAAGGCTGCAGCAGTCTTTGCTTACAAGTGTGATCGCTGTGATTGGTCAAAGTGATCATATGGTACAGGTCCAATTTCATTCTGTGATTCGTTGTCTCCGAAGAACGCCACCATCAGGCTGTTTGTTGCAATGGGATGGGAAGTAGATACTATAGGACCCTTTCATCCAATTGGACAGTGTTAGTGAGTGGCAACCCACTTTTGATCTGTATGGTATAATAAGGAAGAGCTGTCAGTGTTTCTGCAAGTGTATCCCTTTTATTTTCAATAACTGATATTAAACATTTTAAAGGATACATAGCATAACCTTATGCAAATAAATAGGTGAGATAAATATATTAATGATTTTCAAAACAGTATCCATCAAATATGAAATGAAAGAGGAGTAACTGAAGGGTAGAACAATACATGTAACAAAATACATGTTAGTAAAATAATAAACGATTAGCAATGTATGCAAAAACGTGGACTGAGCACCAATAAGGAGGGCACTCATGGGTTTGGTGCGGAAGCTGGGTCCGTCATGCAGAAAATAAAGAAATATTTCAACAGAGGCCTCCACAGCAGGAGAGACAAAAAGATTGGGGGGGGGGGTAGAAAAAGAGGGGAAAAAAGAAAAGAAGAAAGACGGATGCCAGGGACACCCCACCCGAAGTCCAGGGGTCTTAATGCCTATAATAGCGTATAATTGGCTGTAGGTGTAACACCCTGCCTGATGCAAATTGTAGGATGTTGATAAAGACACAGGATGGCAGTGTCCTGTGGTTCAGTAGCACTCACACTTTGTGGAACAGCCCCACGGACCTCATGTGTTGAGCCACAGGACTGCTGGAAAGCAAAGTACCAGGGGACAACATTTCCCAGAGGTGCAGGCGTGTGGGGCATTTCTGTGAAGAAGCCTGGGAGTCTGGTCAGGAAGAATGAATGGCATTCATAACAGCTGTGCTTCCTATAAAGTGATGCTGTGATTGGCTAACAGCTATCATATGGTACCTGGTCCAATCACGGAACCCTGTACCATGTGATTAGCTGTAGCCAGTCACAGATCACTAGTAACTAGACATTTCAAAACATTAAAACATTGCTGTTACAGTGATCATCATTGTAACAGCAAAGTATAAAAAAGATAGAAAAGAAATCCCGGATCACCAATCACCCCGACCCCCCCCCCCCCCCCCCCCCAGTAGTACAGTGTTAATATGGTGACATTGGACTACTCTGCTGAAAGTATATATAAAAGAAAGACAGAATAATAAAAAAAGAAAACATTGTTAAAAAAAAATTTAAATATCGAATTAAAAAATTCACTGGATTTTATGGTGTGCACTTTTATTGATGGAACAGTTACTGATACTAGTCTAGGGTCCCTAAAATGCCCCAAGACTGTCAAAACCTTTCCAGTAGACTCCTCACTTCAACCTATTCTGTTTAAATACCAAAATGCTTCTGAGAAGCTATTCTTTCCTGCAAGTCATGTTTCCCAATAATATAAATTTTATGTGTCTTTAAAAACAAAAGTGATGCTTTCCCACTGTGGATCCAGCTGTTTCCTATCTTAATAAAATGAAACCTACTATAGCTGCCTTGACAATGGGGAAATGGACTAAAAATATGTCTGAGGAACTAGAAACTGTACTTACTAATCATTCAGTTAGGAAGCACTTGGAGTTTAACTTATCTTCGATATTGTCTGTTTCATTTCCTGTATGAGTCTCCTGTCTGTTAACTGCTTACCCTCCGCCCTATAGCAGGAATACTGCTACAGGGTGGCAGGGGTGCGCAAAATCATGTATACATATGTGATTTTGCATTTCCGGGTAGGGGGTGTGCGCGAGCCCTACCCGCGCTGCCATTGGTGGCCTGACCTGTCGATCACCGGGTCCTAGCCGGCATCCAGCGATGTGTATCACAGACGGGGGAGAGACCTGTGTGTAAACAATACTGATCTCTCCCCCCTGTCAGCTACTGCACATTGCTTTGTATTGCTCTGCATAGCACAGCAATACAAAGCAATGTGCTGGCACAGTAAAGCACACACACAGCACACTGTAAAACAGCACACAGTTAACCCTTTGATCGCCCCAGATTTTAACCCCCTTGCTGCCCCGTGCCATTAGTACAGTGTCAGTGCTTTTTATTAGCACTGATCACTGTATAGTGTTACTGGGGATGTCAGTGACAGTTAGTCAGTTTCCCCCCAGTGTCAGAATGCCCGCCGCAGTCCCACAGTCCTACTATAAGTCGCTGATTGCCGCCACTACTAATATTACAAAAAAAAAATTCCACTATCTATACAGCCATTTGTAAACGCTATAACTTTTCACATAAACCAATTAAATTACAAGCATAGACATGTCGCAGAATACATTTTGGCCTAAATTTATGAAAAACTTTATTTTTTAAAAGTTTTTTGCTGGACATGTTTAATAGCAAAAAGTCAAAAATATTACCATCGAAAGAAAGCTCTCTATTTGTGAGAAAAAAAGGACATAAATTTCATTTGGGTGCAGTGTTGCATGACCACGCAATTGTCAGTTAAATTAAGGCAGCGCCGTATCGCAAAAAGTGGCCTGGTCAAGAAGGGGGTAATAGAGGAACTCTCTGCCTAAAACATTGCTCTGTGGAACAACAATAGAAAAAAGGCCTACCGTATGTGCCTTTTGAAAAAAAAATGTCTCCGATGCTCCTTTAAACAATTTTACTGGAGCTAAACTTAATGTGTGTAGATGGTGCCGAGTTAGGTAAAACTATTAGTTTCTTCATCTTGAATACTACCAAAAATGCTGTGACTTATAGTTCCGGCTCTCATACTGTGAAGGATAGTGGGTCCCTTACTCTCCACCTGCTTCTCCCCTGGTCCATTTATAAAATGCCTTTAACTACTTGCCCTTCAGAGGATTTATGCCCCTTCCTGAGCAGGCCATTTTTTGCGATATGGCGCTGCATTAATTTAACGGACAATTGTGTGGTCGTGCAATGCTGTACATAAATGAAATTTTATGTCCCCTTTTCCCCGCAAACAGAGCTTTCTTTCAGTGGTATTTGATCACCTCTGCGTTTTTTATTTTTTGCGTTACAAACAAAAAAAGACTGACTATTTTGAATAAAACACTGGAGAGTGCAAAATCTGGTGCCGCTGTGCACAGTAGCCAATCAGGTTTTAACTTCAGCTTGTTCAATCAAGCTTTGACAATAAAGCCTGGAAGCTGATTGGTCTCTATGCAGAGCTGCACCCGATTTTACACTCTCCAGTTTTAGTAAATCAACCCAAATATGTCTATTGCTGTCTATGCTTTCCTGTCCTGGGGACAGCCTCTCCTTCCACCATTTTATTGTCCTGGTGTCACAGGAACAGGAAGTTAGAACAATCCCCCCAGTAGGATCACAGGAAGAATGTCTGTTATTTTTTGCCACGCAATCCAACAAAATATCTTGAGTTGAGCTAAAGTCTTGATAGAAGATGTAACCCCCTCCACCCTTCTTGGCCTTCCCTGGCACACCCCCTCCTTTCTGAGAGGCATCTAGTGTTCCTCAGGGCTGGATGACCCTTAAGTTTGCTTTTAGGAAGCTCACTATTATGTATATCTAGTTGCTTCAGACTGTTCCCTGTGGAGAATTTCATACTACAAATTGGCATGCATTGAATCTAATATATATGTATGTTGCCCTGGAACTACATGTACCAAAAAAAAAGCAACAAATATAACCAAATATATTAATATACTGTAATCTAGTGGCCAACAGCATCTTTATTGAGGGCCAGTTCACACCACAATTTCTGGGTTTCGGATTTGTTTCTGCGTGCATGTTTTCGATGCGTTCTGGTGCATTTTTTATGTGTTCCATTGTGTTTTCCCGTTTTTCTTCATCTCAATTAAGGACATGTGCGTTCATGATGTACTGATGCCGCAGTCCCGATGCATTCCATACAGAAAATATACAACATGTTCTACTTTTGTTGACTGCGAGGGAACGCACTGCACTGATGTGAACTATGGCCATTGGAATCCATATTAAACACTGTCCATGCTTTTTGATGCAGAATAAAAAATCACTGGACTTCATCTGGTGTGAACCAGCCCTAAAGGGAACTTGTCCGGAGACAATATACAATATATGCTGGCATTGGTGATCATTTCCAGAAAAGCTAGATAACTATGATGCTGATCGGGTTGGTTTGGTCATTGATTGGAATAAGCACGTAGATTGTGAGTGCTGACTTATTCTAAGTTAGTGACTCAAATTGTTAAAAAACTAGAAAAAGCCAGACAATTTGTGTTTTTACAAGGTGGTTAGCAATGGCAGGTTGAAGACCTCACTGCAGGCTTCTTTTGTGGCCCATATGGATAGACCTTAAAGGATAAATTCACCTTATATAACATGTTACACCCATATTCAGGGTGTGTCCACTGACACCAATGTAAAGGGTTATTAATGAATCCATTGACAGCAATGTAGAAGGTTATTTTTGCATCCACTGACACCTAGGTAGAGGGTAATTATTGTGTCCACTGACAGCAAGGTCGGGGGCTATTGCATTCACTGGCAGCAATGTTGGGGGTTTTTTATAGCATACCATGACACCTATGTTGAGGGTAATTATTGTGTCCACTGACAGCAATGTCAGGGGCTATTATTGCATCCACTGAGTTCATTGTCGGAGGGTTTATTGTCTCCACTGACACCAATGTTAGGGTTTATTATTGCGTCCACTAACACCAATGTCAAAGGTTATTATTCTGTCGACTGACACCAGTGTCGAGGGTTATTATTGCATTCTCTGACGTCAATGTCAAGGGTTATTATTGTGTCCACTGACACCAGTGTCGGGGGTTATTATTGCATCCACTGATGCCATTGTTGAGAGTAATGTGTCCACTGACACCAATGACAGGGGTTATTAATGCTTCCACTAATTCCATTATCAAGGGTTATTATTGTGTTCACTGGTGCCAATGTCAGGGGTTATTATTGTACCCACTGACACCAATGTGGGGGGTTATTATTGCGTCCACTGACACCAGGGTCAGGAGTTGCTATTGCATCCACTAACACCAGTGTCAGGGGTTGTTATTGCATCCACTGACACCAAGGTCGGGGGTTGTTTTTTTGTCCACTGACACCAATGTGAAGGTCAATTACTGCATCCACTGACACCAATGTCAGGGTGCTATTATTGCATCCACTGATGCCAATGCTGGGGTTTATTATTGTGTCTACTGACACCAATGTCTGGGGTTATTATTAATGTCACTGCCATCAATGCTAGGGGTTATTTTACTCCAAATTCTTCAGTGTGCATTGCAATACACAGCAAGACATACAGCAGGACTGTACTTTTTGGACGTTGAGGTGCATTATTACCAATTGTTTTTTAATGGGCTGCCTAATGACACAATGCACCTCAGTTCACAAAAATGCACTGCTATTATGGTCCTCTGGAAGTATCAGGGGCCACACTTGAGGCTCTGTATAATTTTCAAAATGTTCAACACTGATGAACTACTAAAGCCATACTGCTACTTTATAAATGTCTCCCTACATTGGTGCTGATGTCCTGGATATGACAGGAGCACAGGCAGTGTTAGGACAGTATAGGATGAGGTTATGTACGGTCATTTTTGAAGGGTCAATCCACCCAAATATTTCAGATGGATTAGCGTTATACTACCTATCTGTTTCCCATATGCAATGTCCAATGCACACCTGCAAACCAGACTATCGGCCTCCTACCTCCCCTCACAGCCAGACCAACACACGGCTGCAAAAAAAGACTACTGGCCTCCAACCTCCCATCACAGCCAGTCCAACTGACACCTACAGGAAAAGACTACCAGCCTCCAACCTCTCCTCACACCCAGTCCAACACACACATGCTAAAAAAAGACTACCAGCCTCCAAATTCCCCCCACAGCCAGTCCAACTCACGCCTACAGAGAAAGACTACTGGCCTCCAACCCCCCCCCCCCCCCTTATAGCCGGTCCAACAAATGCCAACAAAAGAGAATACTGGCCTCCATCCTCCCCTCACAGCCAGTCTAACGCACTCCTGTACAAAAAGACTACTGGCCTCCAACCTCCTCTCACAGCTAGACCAACACATGCCTGTAGAAAAAAAAGACAACCGGCCTTCATCCTCCCCTCACAGCTAGTCCAACACATGTCTACAAAAGAAACTACCGACCTCCAACCTCCGCTCACATCTGAAGAAAGAGAACCCACAATAAGCAATCTGCTCCTCCTCTGTAAATTTGGTCTCCAGCACTTCATTGATTTCTTCCATCTTCATCTGTGTTTCCAGGTTTATCGGTGGGCACTTTCTAAAAGTCACTTTTGGGTGGAGTCTAAATGTGACTGTCACACTCTGGTGGAGTCTCAATGTGAATGTCACATTCTGGTGGAATCTCAATGTGACCGTCACATCCTGGTGGAGTAGTAGCGATGTGAAAGTCACATTCTGGTTGAGTCTGAATGTGAACGTCACATTCTGGTGGAGTGTCAGTGTGAACATCACACTCTGGTGGAGTCTCAATGTGAACATCACATTCTGGTGGATTTACAATTTCTTTCAATTTTCTCTCCCATCACAGCTGCATCCTTCCCATTTAAGTGCAGTCCATCCCTACTATAGAGCCAGAAAGTGACCAAAACGTCAAACCCAATTCTCCAGGAACTCAAATTCCTCCTCCCTGCACCAGTTCTTAAACCACTTGTTAAGTTCCTGCTGATTCTTTAGTGTCGCTCCAGATAAAGGCAGGATTTTTGAAAATACTCCCTTGGATGTCCTTTTCTTCAATATAGCTCCTAAGTCCCTGAATTCATTTTGTAGGACTCTCCATCTTCCTCTAATTTTGTCATTGGTACCAATATGTACCATGACAGCTGGATCCTCCCCAGCTCCAGCCAACAATCTGTACATCCGATCTACGATGTCCCCAACCCGAGTGCCCGGTAAACAACACACTGTTTGTTGACTTGTGTTTTTGTGACAGATTGCCCTCTCTGTCCCTCTAATCATTGAGTCCCTTACCATCAGTATCTGCGTAACGGAACTGGACCCCGACCGCACTAGGGTATTTCCATTATACTCTCACTTCCCTGTCCGAACACAAATCCACGGACCACACCCGCTGAGCATGCAGGAAATAAGACAGCACCAGACTCTCTTAAGACAGGAAGTCAACTGCTTTCTTTTAACACAAAACACAAGTTATATACATAGGGTGG